TTCCGGCAATACCCTTTCGGCGATCCTTGACACGAAGACATTAAATCTGACAAAGCTTAATATCTTGCCCCAGCTTGTGGTCACATAGGGGAATGCAGATTTTATTATAATATGACCGAACCCACAAGGCTGCCTACGTATCCCCTCTTCAACGGGAATCAGGTAAAGCGTAGTTCACGTTACATCAAGAAGAAAATGTAGATATAATCTCAATCATAATATCTTTTGACGGCATTCGAATTGATAAGTTTTGGCCATATTTCTCCATCCATTTCTGCTAGTATAAGTGATCCTCCTCTCAGCACTCGGTGAACCATGTAAGGACTTTGCTAGTTAGGTGAGAATTTTCCCTTTGCTTTATCCTGATGTGGAAAAACCGCTTCAGCACCAGTTGCCCCGGTATGAATTGTCTTGGTCTAACCTTCTTGTTGAAAGCCCTTGCCATTCTATTTTGGTAAAGTTGACCGTGACACACCGCGTTCATCATTTTACCGTCAATGAGAGCCAACTCAGCTTTGCACCCATTCTGCATCGCTAAGCTCGGCCTCCTGTATGATTCTCAAGGAAGGAATTTTTACCTCAATGGGTATAACAACTTCACTACCAAAGACCAATAGATAGGGGTTGCCCCAGTTGACGTTTAGACCATGGTGCAGTATCCGAGCAGAGCGAATGGCAACTTCTCGTGCCACTGTTAGTTGTCTACCATCTTCCTTAGTATATTCTTAATGTTCTTGTTGGAGCCTTCCATGGCTCTATTCATCTATGGCCTATATGCGATTGAGTTTTGATGTTTGATCTCACTTAGCTGTATTTGCAACTTTGCCAACTTGCCAGCAGGCATAGGCCTCTGGAAAATGTACTTTAATTGATCCAATCTCGATATGAGGTATGTGGTTTATGCACAGAAATAATGCCTCAACTTCTGGGATATCCATGTCAGAGAGCAACAAGTACGTTCTAATAGTGAATACCGAGCTTCATAAGGTGTGAACTTCTTACTCAGATAGTATATGCTTGATCCTTTCTTCCGGTCTCATCATGATATCCGAAGACGTATCCAAAGGCTCCATCCAACTCGGACAGGTACAGCAGTAAAGGTCTCCCAGGCTTTAGTGGTACTAGCACAGGAGGTTGGATAGATATTCCTTGATCTTGTCAAAGGCCTTTTGACACTCCTCAGTCTAACTTGTTGCACCATCCTTCCTCAGCATCTTGAAGATTGGTTCACATATTACCGTTGACTATGCTATGAAACAACTGATGTAGTTGAGATGACATAAGGAACTCATTACGTCCTTCTTGTTCCTTGGCGGTGGCAGATCTTACATGGCTTTGATCTTTGATGGGTCCAACTCAATACCTCCGCGATTGACGATGAAACCTAGTAACATCCTGACAGGGACCCCAAAAGCATATTTCGCAGGGTTCAGCTTTAGGTTGTACCTCCATAGTCGGTCGAAAGACTTTCTTAAATATGCTATGTTATCCGGGCTCTTCTTGGATTTGATGATGTCATAATCCACGTAAACCTTTATTTCCTTGTGTATCATATCATGAAAGAGGGTGTTCATGGCCCTCATATAGGTTGCCCCGACATTCTTCAAACCAAACGACATTATCTTGTGGCAATACACCTCCCACGGTGTAATGAAGCCCGTTTTCTCTGCATCCTCTTAGTCCATCCAGATCTGGTGGTATCCTGCGAAGAAATCAACAAAGTATTGAAGTTCATGCTTGGCGCAGTTATCGATCAAGATGTGTATGTTTGGTAGTGGAAAATCATCCTTATGACTTGCTCTGTTCAGATCTCGATAGTCAATGCACACTCCGACCTTCCCGTCAATCTTTGGTATAGGTACGATATTGGCTAACTAGGTCGGATATTCGACCACTCATAGGACTTTGGCTTTGATCTGCTTGGTAACTTCCTCTTTTATCTTTAAACTCATATCTGGCTTGAATTTCCTGAGCTTCTGTTTCACCGGTGGACACATAGGGTTTATAAGTAGCTTGTGGGCCACTATGGATGTGCTCAACCCTGTCATGTCGTCATAGGACCATGCAAATATGTCCTCGTATTCTTTCAGAAATTTGATGTACTCTGTTCTGCCTGATGGTGATAGATGAAAGCTAATGCGAGTTTCTTTGACTGTTTCGGAATCCCCCAAATTATCTACCTCAGTCTCTTCAAGGTTGGACTTTGGTTTGTTCTCAAAATCCTTTACTTCCCTGACAATTTCCTCGGGTATTATGTTATTTTTCCATTCTTCTAAATCATTCTCATCATGTTACGTTGTCTCATTACATATCACAATTGTAGATTCGACAAGGTGGACATTTAAGTCTCTTTGCACCTTAAGTTGGCTTTTTCATGGGTTTGTCCTTAAAAGGAACTTTAATTTTTCAATCTTAAGGTGGACACTTAAGTTCCTTTATACCTTAAGCTGGCCTCGTCACAGATTTGATCATTCTATATGGTGTTTCGGGTTGATCCTTCTATATGCTGTTGAATATTTGTCCTTCTATATGTCGCCATGGATTTGTACTTCTATATGACGTATGAAACTTTGCTCCCCAAGATTAGCCTTTCAGTTTTCGGGCAGGGATGAGTATCCATCCCTTCACACCCTATGTTATCCCTCTGCTTTTCTGGCGGGGATGAGTATCCATCCCTTCAAACCCTAAGATTGTCTTCGTCATGCATGGATTATCTTGTTAAACAAAAACATATCCTTCTCGTTTGATCTAAAAAAAAAAAAAGAAGAAAAAAAAGGAAATTACAAAAGAAAAGAAAAAAGAAGTTACCTCGGCACTGTAGTACTTCTTGTGAACACTGTAAATTGATGTTCAACGAATGAAGTGCATGTAGCCTTATATAGGCATGTAAGAGATGACATAAAAGAATAACGTCTGATGTGGGATAAGGTGTATAAGGCGGCTTTTACAGTTGTTTTTCATATGAGATTCGACTACTACAATGTGTCTTCGAAGAAGGATTGGTCTAATTTCGGCGGCAAAATAGGAACCCGAAAGCAATTCAAATTATTGTTGGAATTATGAACTGAATGTGAAATTCTATCTAATCATTACGATAAGTAAGGATTCGCTTCCTAATGGGAAATATAGATATCACTGGCGATTACAATTTTATATTAAAATTATAGTTTGCATGGTTTTGTCTTTGTCCCTGTTCAAAGTTAAATGGTCACTACAGTAATTGACTGTGCGTACATGTAACAAATTGCATGGATGATACTCTGCGTTCTAATCTGGCCTGCGACAAATTTGATAGTCTGCCAATACTTTATGACCCGTTTTCGGTTACGACAAGTCTATACATCAACAAGTTTTGAAGTATGGGGTATTTATAGGCATATATATATTTTATCAGAATTAAATTCAATGAAATAATTCGAACTATATGCTAAATATATTATGGGCTAATAATCTAATATAATTAAATTAATTATATAAATCCAATATATATGAATAAGTCCAAATTTATTGGGCTAGCCCATGTAATTGGGCTAAAAGTGATGAGCCCACTTCGTTAAGCCCAGCAAGTCAGATTCTTTTAGAGGTAAAAATTGCATGGGGCGCCCTATTTGGTCGCCCATTTTTAACTTATACTCGTTTTGTTTTTTCGTTTGCATTCGTACCCATTTTTTTTATTAAAAGCGTTTTAAAAAGACGATTTTGTCCTTTTTAATAAAAGACTATTGACAAACTACAGGATAAAAACTTAAACATGTTTAGGCTGAAATTTTAGCAAATAAACTAAAAAACTTCAGCTTGTTTAGACTGAAATTTCGGATAAAACTCAGGACAAAACTGTAGACTGCGTTATAAAACTTCAGGATGTTTTGGTATGAAGTTTTAGCAAATGAACTAAATAACTTCAGTATGCATTAGCAAAAACTCTTTAGAAAATTACATACTACAAGACAAAAACTTAAGCATGTTTAGTATGAAGTTGTAGCAAATGAACTAAAAAAATTCAGCATGTTTAGTCTGAAATTTTAGCAAATGAACTAAATAACTTCAGCATGTTATGTCTGAAGTTTTAGCAAATAAACTAAATAACTTCAGCATGCATTAACAAAAACTCATTAGAAAATTACATACTACAAGACAAAAACTTAAGCATGTTTTGTCTGAAATTTTAGCAAATGAACTAAAAAACTTAAGCATGTTTAGTCTGAAATTATAGCAAATGAACTAAATAACTTAAGCACGTTTAGTCTGAAGTTTTAGCAAATGAATTAAATAACTTAAACATGTTTAGTCTAAAGTTTTAGCAAATGAACTAAATAACTTAAGCACGTTTAGTCTAAAGTTTTAGCAAATGAATTAAATAACTTAAGCATGTTTAGTCTGGAGTTTTAGCAAATGAACTAAATAACTTAAGCATGTTTAGTCTGGAGTTTTAGTAAATGACTAAATAACTTAAGCATGTTTAGTCTGAAATTTTAGCAAATGAACTAAATAACTTCAGCTTGTTTAGTCTGAAATTTTAGCAAATGAACTAAATAATCTTAGCATGTTTAGACTGAAGTTTCGGATAAAATTCATGACAAAACTGTAAACTGCAGGATAAAATAACTTTAGCATGCATTAGCAGGAAGTTTTAGCTTCATGCTGAAACAACTTCATGCTATATTAGCATGAAGTTTTAGTTTCAACATGAAACAACTTCATGCTACATTAGCATGGAGTTTTAGCCTAAAGGTGAAATAACTTCATGCAAGTGTGATTCTGAAGATGAATCATGACAAGTTTTTAATTTTTATATAAATTTGCTGAAAGGAGAAGAGAAGATCGTTTTATATCTTTTGTATTATGGATTTTTTATGAGATGACTACTAAATCAATAGTATACAAATTAAAAGGTGACACAAATATAGCATACAGCTACAAATCCTATTTTAGAGCTCCAAAAAAATAAAATAAAAAATCTTTTAGAGCTGTCTCGCGCAACTGTACATTTCATTCCCCTCAATACTCTCTGCAATTTAATTTGCTGAGTGAAATTTCAAAATTCCCTCCTCCAACTCGTCACGTTTCCGCTTCTTCTAGGGTTTCCTTTCCCGATGAAGCGTGACTATTGCGAGATCTCCGACGACGAATGGCCGGAAGACAATTCCTTCAATCCTTCTCGCGTCCTCAAACTCAACAAGCCTTCTTCTCCTCCTCCTCCTATCGAGTCCTTCGCGTACTCCAAGAGCAACAATCACGACACCTCAAAACCCTCCAATTTCGTCGAACTGGTGGATAGCTCGTCGGAGGAAATTGGAGTCAGAAATGTGACGGAGAATTTGGAGGACGATGATGCTGAGATTGTGTCCACAGTGAACCAGACGACGACCAGCCGTGGCCGCCGGAGATTCGTGGTGGATGATGAAGATGAAGGATTGAACTCGAATATAGACGAGCAGGATATTGAGGTTTTCGAGGAGATTGAGGCTTTCGAGGAGAGTGAAGAGGAGGATGATGTTGTAGGGAAAGCACTGCAAAAATGTGGGAAAATATCTACGGAGCTTAAGAGAGAGCTTTTTGGTACGGCAGCTGCTAAGTTTGATTCCTACGCTCAAGTGGAGGAGGCTTCATCACTGAGAATCGTGACTCAGGTAGTATGATATTTGAACTAGTACGTTAAGTTTGGGCTTTAGCTGTTGTAAAATGCTGTATTTTTGTCTGTGATTGAAATGTTTTTCACTCAAGGATGATATAGACATGGCATGCGGAGAAGGAGATTTGGAATTTAAGCCAATACTGAAACCTTACCAACTTGTTGGAGTCAATTTCCTCCTTTTGCTGTATAGAAAGAAGATCGGGGGAGGTACTTCTTTATTGTACTTTGTTTTTAAAAATTTATTTCTTGTTATTTTGTAGCATGGACCTGTTGTCTGAGTTGTGATGATTTCCTTGTGAAGTTAAGTTTTTAGGAGCTTATGTGGTTAAATTATTAAAGAGTTTTTCTAACTTGGCATATGATCATTGTGTCTTTTGATGCTAGATTAAGAATAAATTTTTGTCTTGATTCCCTGAAATAATGGAAAATGGCACATTCTGCTTTCGACCTCCAAATAATTGAACCAACATTCTTATGATCAAAATACATATAAGGGGTTGTTTGATTGGCTGCATAAACAAAACAATCTCAGAATAGAATTCCGCGTAAGTAATGCAGTATTTGGTGAGTTGCATAATAACTAATGCAGTGTTTGGTTGATGGTATTAAACTCCGCATAACTAATGCAACATTTGGTTGGTGCTATTAAACTCCCTGATGGTAACGCGTGCACAAGTTATACTCGAATACGTGCTATTTTATGCGGAATAGAATACAGAGTAAGTGTATTAGAAGTACATGCATAAGAGTAGTTAAAGACAAATAAATCCCTTGAAGTAGGCAATCTCTGCAGCCTCCATGGTTTAAGTCTAGTGGTAAACGCGCAACACGTGATGTGCGGGTTAGGCGCACACCATGAGTTGAACCCTGCCGCTAACAAAAGCTTGGTATTTAAGTGGAGAAGGATAGTGGGGTGGGCTCACTATCCATCAAGTTTTGAAACGTGCGGTAATTTGGCCCTTGGCAATTTGTCTTTTATTAAAAAAACCAAAAGTAGGCAATCTCTGCACGACAATCTTTGTATTATTGCTCAATGTATAACTGTCCCTACATTATTATTCACGTCATAACAATCCTCACAACATTAGTTGCCACATAAATGATCCCTAAATTGTAATATCTGTATAATTGGTCAGTGAACCAGACAATCTGCAAGTGTTTCTCAATATTTAAGTAGTCAGAAAAAGCTTAAAGTACCTTATTCCATTCAGTTTTTAAGTTATTCATATAAAATGACAAGACTGTTGCTGCTCCATATCTTTTATATAGTGAGTCTGATAAGTTTTAGATGCATTAAAATTTTGTAGTTTCCAAAGCATTTGCAGGAACACTACTATTTTTCCGGGTAGGTTCACAAATGAAACTCAGATCACCTAAATATCCTTTATCCCCCATGGACTTGATTCTAGCGTATAGCAATTAACCGCTACCAGCATTTCTTTTTTCTGTACAGATAGAAAGAAAGCCTAATGTTTCTGACTAAGATATGCATTGCTATCATATTATACTTGACAAGTGTACATACATGCATCCCAATTTTGGGTCCTACGCCTCAAACATAAAATTTTTGGGGCTGGTTTTATGCAGCTATACTGGCTGATGAAATGGGTCTTGGTAAGACAATTCAGGTATGCCACAGTTTTAACTTTTTATTTTTTCTGATTGATGCAGATATTTTCTTTTATCTTGACTTTAAGTGATAGGTAACACTGCATTTATTCATCTTATTAGGCAATCACATACTTAACAGTGCTGAAACATTTGGAAGATGATCCTGGTCCACATTTAATCGTTTGTCCTGCCTCTGTTTTGGAGAACTGGAAAAGAGAGCTAAAAAGGTGGTGTCCAGAATTTGCTGTGATCCAGTATCATGGTGCTGCACGATCAACTTACTCAAAAAACTTGAGTTCTCTGGCTAGGACTGGACTGCCACCTCCATTTAACGTTATCCTAGTGTGCTACTCACTGTTTGAACGACACAGGTTTGCATATTATTTTAATGACCTTAGGTTTGCATCGAAGTGGGAGTATACCATCTAACTGCTTGTGGTTATGTATTTTCTAATCATTTATAGCTATGAGGTGTTTTAGATTTCATAGTTCTGCCTCAGAATGAAGCCTCTGGTATATGCCTTTGAAAGAACTGCAAGAACAAGTGCATTCAAGTAGCCCCAGATATTTTGCTTACTATAGATTTTTTGATGAAGTGATTGAAAATTAGATTTATGTTCGCAAGTGCTGAACTTGCAAAGGTTAGTTCAAATAGTGGTCTACTTTTCTCAGTGGAGGCTACAAGAAAATAAGATCCTCAGTTTCATTGTTGTTGAAAATTAAATTTCATTGTTCTATTCCTGAGTATGCTCTACTGCTGCTCTTTCCATCGTAAAACTCTCAGATTTTAGTTTCACCGTCCTTAGGTGAAAGTTGAGGCAATGGGAAAAAGCAAGTCATTGCTACTTCTTGGAGAAATTCTTATTCAACGCTTTTACAGAAGAATGATATTGTTGCAAAGGGGAATCCTATTTGCCTGTATGAAAGTCCCCTGTCTTCTATCTAGTAAACATTTGAAAAAAATTTCATGTCGAATTTTCACAACGCTAAAGATGACAATTTCATCCTATTTCTTAGTGCATAGGAGCTCACTTTTCAGTTTCTGTTTATACTTGTACTTTAGTCGTGATTGAGCTGTTAATCTATACAAAAATTTCTTATTCAATTTTTTGATTTTTTCTTTTCTAGTTTATGTTTGATGTATGATCTTTACCGCAGAAGATGGAATTTTCTTTTCTAAATGGTCCCAACTTGAGAAAGATCTCTTAATATATAGGAAAGCAGAAGAATGCTGAGATGCAGAATATGTATTTTTTGAAGACATAGGGTGTACATGTAGAGAATAGAAAATAAATTTCAAGCTATCTGCTAGAACTGCCAGAGTACCTTAACAGTTCTCTTGCAAATGAGCTTTATTAGTAAAATAAGTTTTACTGAATACTTTCGAGATCTATATACTATACTAGGGGATGTGATAGAGATATGTTTCTCCTAGTATAGTGGACGAAATGTAATCTTCAATTTGGTTTTAGATACTTATTAATCAACTCTTTAAACTTGCATCTACGTATGGAAAAAAAGTCTTTAAACTTCATGTTTATTCAAAAAAGAAAAGAATCTTTAAACTTTCATGTTTTAAACAAGCCTAGCTAGTTGGTACTAATCTTTGTCATTGAGTCTTATACCGGTGCCTCATTTTTGCAGTGCTCAGCAGAAAGACGATCGCAAAATTCTGAAGCGTTGGCGTTGGAGCTGTGTGCTAATGGATGAGGCTCATGCTTTGAAGGATAAAAGTAGCTATAGGTGGAAAAATTTAATGTCTGTGGCACGTAATGCCAACCAGCGACTAATGCTCACTGGCACGCCACTACAGAATGATTTGCATGTATGATAGCCGCCAACTGTTTTGTCTTAAGCTGCTAAAGTTTTTTCGCATATAGTTCGTGTATGTTATATGTCAGGACAAATGTCTATTGGGGACATTCTTGAATGTTAATTTTATGACTTTACTTTGCTTAAAAAATAAAAAATATTTTTTATTTCTTACAGGTTATTTACTAAGTAAATTTCAAGGTGAAAAAGCTAAAAATGGCACTTCAAAGCAGACAATTAAAATTGTCCAATCCCAATCTTGGTTGCATTACTTATACTAGCAGAACAAAATGGTAATGAAATGCAAAGATATTTATTATTTCCAAGAGGAGTAATAAAAAGCTGTCTCTCGTATTCCTGAATAAATTTTGACGTCTTTTGACCTCAATAACCCTGGATGATAGTGTAGAGAAACGTCTATTCTTAAAGCAGCTTGCTCATTGTCTGTTGATATCAGCGACCCTGGTGTCAGAACTTCTTGCAATGTATAGCCAATCATTGCAAGGTCAGTTTTGAGGTTCTTTTCCCTGGATTGAGCACTTGCGAGCTATATCAGATGTAATAATTCAACAGATTCTATAACTTGCCTTGCTCCAGGGGGAATGCTCTCAACTACTTTTTTTTTGGTTCAATTTTTTTCCTCTCTTTTCGCCATGTTTGGCTGTGATGAAAAACTTTTGTCAACATTTAAGTATGGCGAGACATTCTTAGCTCTCTTACACTTGATTTCCTGAGCAGATGCTATTTGCTGTACATTTTTTAGTGAGTCAAAGTAACTTTGCGTGTATGTTTTCTTGATTATTTTTTTGTAATTTCTTGTGTGTGATCTCTGCTTCTTTGGCCACTGTTTTCATGATTAGTGCTCATCTGTACGCTTGATTTTGCTTTGTTCAGTTAGTGGTTTTCTATTGCAGGAACTTTGGTCAATTCTGGAGTTTATGATGCCTGATCTATTTGAAACAGGAGATGTTGACCTGAAAAAACTATTGAATGCAGAAGATAAGGAGTTAATTGCTCGAATAAAGTCCATTCTTGGACCTTTCATTTTGAGAAGATTAAAATCGGACGTGATGACACAACTGGTACCAAAAATACAGATGGTATGTATTTTGTTCTGTTTGTATTTCTTGTTTTTCATTTTCTTCACTATAGCTATTTCCATCTTTGGTCTATTGATGTTTAGACTCTGCTATTCATGGGCTTGCCTAGAATCGCTCACAGCTTTTACATGTTAGACTTAGTATGTGACAGAAAATTTCTACTGCAGGTTCGTTATGTTGGCATGGAGAAAGATCAAGAAGAGGCATATAAAGAAGCGATTGAAAGCTATCGTGCTGCATCTCTAGCTCGTGTTTCAAAGCAACCTGAAATTAGTTTCAATAGTGCTGCTGGTGTCTTTTCTAGACGACAAATTTCCAATTATTTTCTTGAATTTCGCAAGGTTCTGAAGCTTCTTGATCTACCTGAATATTTATTGTCTGAACTCCAGATTTTTGACCNTTTGACAAATAATGCTATGGTTTCTTCAGATTGCAAACCATCCTCTGCTTGTCAGGCGTATTTATACAGATGATGATATTGTTCGAATTGCTAGAGTTATGCATCCCAAAGGTGTCTTTGGTTTTGAATGTACAGTTGAAAGAGTGATTGAGGAGCTGAGGAGCTATAATGACTTCTCCATCCACAAGGTATACTTTCTTTTATCTCACTCATTTTTCTTCTACAAACTATCTGGTTCGCATGCATTGGGTTAATCATGAAATTCTCCCATATGACATGTATTTTGAGTTGTTTGGTATTCTCTGGCTGCTTATATTGTCAACCTCTGATAATCGTTGTAGTCAATCTAACTTCTTTCTGATAGTGAGGTGCTAATGGCACAGTGCCAAGCAGCAAATAAAGGCTTAGAAGAAAGTGAAACGACATACACTTATCTACAAGCTTACAAGATCTTCTCTCTCCTCTTGGGGGGTTTTGAACCGGCTACAATCAATATTCGAAGCTATAGATATACCTGTATTCTAGTTGTACTGTGTTTTGATTCCACTCTTAAAGAGTTATATTTGGTGGCATGTAATTGACTCAGGAAAACATAGCCAAAAGGAAAACAACAAAATGAGAAAAAGAAAAAGGAAAGAAAATGAACCAGCAGCTTAATTGCATTCTCCTAAAACTTGAAGACTCTGTTTCGTCCACATTGGGGAGTGATCTATTTCTCTTAACCAATTTAGAGGCCTTGAATTGTTATGTCTTCGAAGGGAAAGAAAGGGCCAATAAGCAGAAAGGAAAGGAAGACTAAAGAAGGAACAAAGGGAATCACCGGTGAACAATTGTGCAGATGATGGTTTTAGTTGGGTTTAGCGAGAAGTTTAAGAAAGGACCTGATGATATGAAGAAATTTTCAAGGGGATAATCTGGTGATAGGTAAGAATCGGTTTAGATATGAATTGTGATAGGCAACCATAGGTATAGTCGACTAGTCGTATAGATATGAATTTACATGTCAATCAAACGACATCATAAGTTGAAGGGAGAATACATAAGTACCCCGTCCAACTTATTTCCTTTTTTCAACTGAACACTTAAAGTTTGTAGGGGTCCTATTACCCCCCTGAACTTATTTGGAGGCGAATTATTACATCCTTATTTGCTGATGTGGCATAGAGAATGTATTAACTCGACTTAACGTGCGTGACGAGTAAAAAATAAGGCAAAAAATACAAGTTATAGCCGATAAACTTCATATTCTCTGACCAAACACCGTAGTTACCGATAAAAAACCATAGCTTGAGAATTGAAAGTTGCGCAAACACCATTCTTTCATTTATCTACTTGATCTTCTCCGTCTTCTTTCGTATTTCCTCACATAATTGTTCACATACAATTCTCTTAGTTCTGGTTCTTTTCGATTTTCGTTGTAACCAGATGAATTTATTTGTTTCAAACATTAATAACAAAGAAAATACAAAAGATGCTAAATCAATTTCTTTTTGGGTATTTATGTAAAGGCAGATTTCACTGTTTCCTCTTAAATTTATGCTCTTTCTCGTTGTTTCACTTCCACATTAGCAAATTCTTATCCTTTTACCCATCATTTTAATTCCATTTTCTTCTTTTTATTTTGATTAATCGGGTTATTTTGACAAAGTGGGTTATCTGTTTTGCGTTTTATTGTTGAGCAATTTGAGGTGGGTATTTTGTTCTCTGATCGATTTGCTTCCACGGTGAAGAGAAGTTTGCGGGATTTGGAGAGACCCTTGGATGGGTTTTAGCCGAAGGCTGTCGTTTGACTGGTTTTGTTATCATATCAAACAAAAGAATGTGGAGAAGATAACAAGAAAAAGAGTAAATGAAAGGAAGCCCTGCATCGTACATCCATGCTGCAAAGGCACTTACGGCGCGATCCCTCAAAATCTTCTTGGCTTCTAAACCTGAACCAGAATCACCTTTTCTTTTTTCTTGTTGTTTTGTCGAGAAATAAAGATTGAGAGGACCTTTTGTTACCGTACGTGCCGTGGATGACCCACTAGAACTATTTGAAGATATCTTATGATTTTTGGAGGGGGAGGTCTCATTTCATCATCTTCATCCATTTCATCATCTTCATCAATTAGATTTACCAATGCTTCATAATTTATTTGAGTTCTTGTCACATTTTTCTTATCAACAAATGCTTTTACTTCCTCCCTAACCTCGGGCGGACAAAGAGGACATTGTACTACATTTTTAAATCCACCTATCAAATGTTGCTTGTGGCGAGTTATTCCATCATGATATATTTTTTCACAAAACACATTTAATTGCGGATCTTGATGAGCCTTGTATAGCATAATTCCAAGCTATATCATTTCGTTTATTACTATCGGATGACGCCATTTCAATACTGTTTTATAGAAAAAATATTATCAAGTCAATATGCAATTAATTCTACTCTATAAGATTATAAGTCTATAATTGAAAAAACAGAGCAAACAAAACAGAGCTCTAAAAAGAAAGAGCTACTGCCCTCTGCCTCTGCTGTTGGTCGAAAAATAGAGCCCAAAAAAAAAAAAAGAGAAGAAAGATGAAGGGAAGAAAGAAAGAGCTCTGGTCGAAAAACAGAGCAAAGAAAGAAGAAGAAAAACAGAGCAAAAAAAAAAGACAAGAAGAAAAATGAAGAAAGAAAGAAGAAAGAAGAAGAAAAAGAAAAAAGAAGAAGACATCAATGGTGAAGTCGAACTGTCGAAGAAAAAAAGAAAAAGACAGCTGAAATAGAAGAAGAAGAAAGTAGAAAAAGAAAGGAGAAGAAGAAAAGAAAAGAAAGTAACATACCTGGGTTACTGTGCTGATGGCCGATGATGAAAGAAGAAGAAGATGAAGCCCTAATTTTTCTGTTGCTGAGAAATGGTTGCTGCTCGGTCGCTGAAGGAGAAGAAGTGAAACCCAAGCCCTAATTTTGTATTTTAATCTAAATCGCTGCCTTTTCTTCCTTTTTTTTTTTTCTAATAGCGTTGCCTCGCAGCGCCTCTCGCTACATAGGCAGAGGCGCTCGCTTTTTCCGAATCGCAACTCAACCGACCAAAAAAGCGCTGCTGCCTCGCGTCGCGTTGCCACACGCTATTAGCGACGTAGCGCTCGCTATTTACAACACTGCTGCAACCTTTAAATTTAGGCAAATATACGTAATTCATTTGCTCTGAAAGGACATCTTTAAGTTAAAATCTGATTGTTGGAGTAACATGATTAACTTACTCCACTACTGACGACGATAAACAATGGAAGCAAAACTAAAAGAGGAAGGAAAACAAAGAAAAAAAGGAAAAAGATGGTATTTAAGAAGTGTAAAGAACCTACACTTGATAATGGACAACCAATTGAACAAAGTCAATTAGCCTTCCATTAATGCATACAGTTTAGACCCAAATACAATCAAGAGATCTTGTAAGCAATCCTATGAATTATCCAAGCAAGAAATAAAGTTATTCTTTATCCAAGCAAGAAATAAAGAAATTATGTTTTCATACTTAGAAAAGTGAAGATTCACAAATATTCATTATGACACCGAATAAAAATGGCAATAATATAAAGTTATTGTTTGAAAAACTAAAACCAGAAAACAAATCGCAAACAGACAATATATGAAATAGTCTCTAGAACAGTTTCTAAATTAGAGTAATAGCAAAAGAAATTAGAAAAAAGAAAAAAGAAACATACGCAGTATTATCCCACACTGTGGGGTCTGGGGAGGGTAGTGTGTACGCAGACCTTACCCCTACCTTGTGAGGATAGAGATGCTATTTCCAATAGACTCTCGGCTCAGGAAAGCATAAGCACCACATTAATGAAAATATAGACAAGAAGGGATAGTACCAAAAAGCCATATAAAAGCTGAATAAAAACAACAAGATAGTAAGGTGATCAACAATGAAAGAAAACAACGATTAGTCATAAAAACCTACTACCAACAGAAAGCGCGACTGCGTGCCAATACTACTGTTATGAACACTCTAGAATACCTACTCTACTACCCTAATCCTCGACCTCCATACCTTCATATAAAAGGTCACGTCCTCGGTCAGCTGAAGCTGCGCCATGTCTTGCCTAATCACCTCTCCCCACTTCTTCTTTGGCCTACCTCTACCTCTTTGTAGGCCCTCCACTGTCAATTTCTCACACCTCCTCACCGGGGCGACTGTGCTCCTCCTCACATGACCAAACCACCTAAGCCGCGCTTCCCGCATCTTGTCCTCAATAGGGGCCAAACCCATCTTGTCGTGAATAACCTCATTTCTGATCCTATCTAACCTGGTGTGCCCGCACATCCATCTCAACATCCTCATCTCTGCTACCTTCATCTTCTGGACATGAGCGATCTTGACTGGCCAACACTCAGCCCCATACAACATCGTTGGTCTGACCACCACTCTGTAGAACTTACCCTTTCGGTCGCACCTTCTTGTCACACAAAATACCGGAAGCGAGTCTCCATTTCATCCATTCCGCTCCAATACGATGTGTGAAATTTTCATCAATCTCCCCATCCCCTTGAGTAATAGACCCAAGGTACTTAAAACTTCCTTTCCTAGAGATGACTTGCGAGTCCAGCCTCACCCCCCTTCCCCTCTTGAGTCTCGCCATTGAACTTACATTCTATGTATTCTGTCTTGGTCTTGCTCAACTTGAAACCTTTAGATTCCAGGGTCTGCCTCCATACCTCTAATTGCGCGTTGACACCGTCTCGCGTCTCGTCAATCAATACAATATCATCTGCAAATAGCATGCACCACGGCACCTCCCCTTGGATGTGGCGCGTCAGTACGTTCATCGCCAGAGCAAACAAAAAAAGGGCCGAGTGCCGACCCCTGATGCAACCCCATCATTACCGGAAAATGGTCCGAGTCCCCACCCACCGTCCTCACTCAGGTCTTTACTCCATCATACATGTCCTTAATCAACCTAACGTAGGCAACAAGTACACCTCTAGCCTCCAAACATCTCCACAAAACCTCTCTCGGAACTTTATCGTACGCCTTTTCTAAGTCGATGAACACCACATGCAAGTCCTTCTTTCTCTCCCTATACTGCTCCATCAATCTCCTAACAAGGTGGATGGCTTCTATTGTCGAACGCCCCGGCATAAATCCAAATTGGTTCTCGGAAATAGACACACTCCTCCTCACCCTTAGCTCTACCACTCTCTCCCAGACATTCATAGTATGGCTAAGCAACTTGATACCCCGATAGTTATTGCAATTTTGGATATCACCCTTGTTCTTGTATACAGGAACCATCGTGCTCCCCCTCCACTCTTCGGGCATCTTCTTCGTTCTAAAAATGACATTAAATAACCTAGTGAGCCACTCCAAGTCTACCTTGCCCGTACTCTTCCAAAACTCCACCGCGATTTCTTCCGGCCCGGTCGCTTTGCCCCTGCTCATCTTACGCATAGCCCCCTCAACTTCATCAACTCTAATCCGCCTACAATACCTAAAGTCACAACGACTCCCGGAGAGTTCCAAATTACCCGGTACAATGCTCCTGTCTCCCTCCTCGTTCAAGAGACTATGGAAGTAGGTCTGCCATCTCCGACGGATAAACCCCTCATCCAACAAAACTCTACCTTCTTCATCCTTGATGCACTTTACTTGATCCAAGTCATGCGCCTTCCTTTCTCGCGCCTTGGCTAACCTGAACAACCTCTTATCCCCACCTCGGCCCTCGAGTTCCTCATACAAACGACTAAAAGCTGCAGTCTTTGCTGCCGTAACTGCTAGCTTTGCCTCCTTCTTAGCCAACTTATAATGCTCCCTATTCGCCCTCTTCTCCTCGTTTACACTTTCCACTAGCTTCAGATACGCTGCTTTCTTGGTTTCCATTTTCCCTCGCACCTCTCCATTCCACAACCAATCTCCCTTGTGACCACTAGAGTAACCCTTTGAGACCCCTAATACCTCTCTCGCGGCTTCTCTAATGCACTGCGCAGTCGTGGTCCACATAGTGTTTGCATTCCCACTACTCCAAGCCCCCATAGTCACCAACTTGACCCCCAACTCCTGCGCTTTAACTTCCGTCAAGGCTCCCCACTTGATCCTATGTTGGCTATACATCGCCCTCTTCCTCCTTTTCCTCGTGATCTCAAGGTCCATGACCAGGAGCCTATGAAGGGTCGAGAGGTTTTCACTCGGGATGACCTTGCAATCCGTGCAAAGACCTCTATCAGACTTCCTGCAGAGTAAATAATCAATCTGAGTCTCGGCCACCGAGCTCCGGAAGGTGACCAAGTGCTCCCTCTTCTTCGGGAAACTCGAATCAAATGCTCTAGCAAAGCCCAGCAGACGTTCCTCCTCCGTTTCTATCTCCAAAACCAAAGCCCCCATGTACATCATCATACCCCTTAGATGTCGCTCCAATGTGGCCGTCTCCTATGAAAAGCTTCTCGGTATACGGGATACCACGTACCATCTCATCCAAATCCTCCCAGAAACGCCTCTTGACTTCCTCATCCAAGCTTGCTTGGGGTGCGTACGCACTGATTATGTTCCAAGTAAAACCTCCAACAACTAGCTTAATAGTCATCAGCCTGTCATTCACCCTCCTAACCTCTACCACTAGTTCACGGAGGTCCTTATCAACCAAGATACCTACTCCGTTCCTGCCCCCCACCCTCCTAGAATGCCAAAGTTTGAAATCGCCCACATCCCGCGCTTTATCTCCTGCCCACCTAGTCTCCTGTACACACGTTATATTAATCTTCCTTTTCTCGAGAATCTTTGCTAACTCTACAGATTTTCCAGTTAAAGTTCCTATGTTTCAAGACCCCTCTCAGCCTAGTAGCTCCCTTAGCCCTCTTACCCCCCGCACCCCCTCCCCCGCGCCGACACTTCCGAGGACAAGACCTTACCTTACCCCATCGTTCACCAAAGCCACTATAATCTAGGAGTCACTAGGCAAGCACTATCCCGAAAGCAAGCGACAAAAATAAAATGAATTACCGAAATATAATCTACCACTAAAGGTCGCAAAACATGTGAAGAAATAAAATAAAAAAACTAATGGGAACTATAATCTACAACTAAAGGTCAGAAAAACAGGTGAAGAAATAAAACAAAGGAACTAAAAGAACTATAATCTACAACTAAAGGATAGAAAAATAGGTGAAGAAATACAATACAAGAGCTACAGGGGGCTATAATCTACAACTAAAGGTCACAAAGAAAATGTGCAAAACTAGAACAGAACTACTAGGGAATATTTGAAATAAAGATTCCAAATAAAGATGTAAACAGGTAGATAACAATATAAACAAGTAGGCAAGGCTATCACTAATGCAATTAATTTGACAATGCTAGGGCAAATATTAACTAAAGATTCAAGAACAAAATAGGCAGGCAAGGAGATATAATTACGCTAAAATATCAAACTCTTAAAATATCAAGACAAGAGAGGGACAATAGAACCTGGATTGCAGCCCTTGGAGTTAACGAAAATCTGGCCGGCGGTGATGGATTGCGACGAGCTGGAGCAATACTCTATTTATTTCTCGTTCAAATAGAAAGAAGAAACTTCGAATATTTTTGTGTTTTCTTTGGAATTTAGACCAACCAGGAAATCTGAAAATGGACCAAAATGAAAAGAAGAACCCTAAACTTTTTCTGCCTCTCTTCTTCGAAATTTGAAATTCGCCGGTATCTGAGGGATTTACCGGCGAGAATTGACCGGAATCTGAATCGGAATCTTTGGTAAAACAAGGGCGCCAGATGGAGTGAGCGGAGGATAAAGAATTTCGAATCGTCCTAGGCGATTAGGTACAACCAAAAATATAACAAGACCAAATCCAAGTAACTAAAATAATGGATATATGGCCAAATAACCACTACCTGGTCATGGACCAATAAGTGGGCAATCCTGTAACTTCCAACTTTAGTCCACTCTTGTCTTAGTCAATGGTCAAAGGTCAACCTTGATCATACCCGGTCAAGTCCTCTGGTCTTCACTTGGACTACTTGAACCTTGCTTGGACCATCACTGCTAGAACATTATACCTTTTTTGGAAGCCTCTCAACTGCATCTTGAAGTCCCTTCACCTTTTTAAGAAATAAATGAATCTCCTAAATCTCCTTGCTTGCCTTCTTATGTAGACTCTTATAGGGGTGAATTTTGGTGCTTCCTCTTCTCAAGTTGGATTGTTAGGGCCTAATATGTAGTCTAGTGTATCAGTTAACTCTGAATCGGAATCTTTGGTAAAACAAGGGCGCCAGATGGAGTGAGCGGAGGATAAAGAATTTCGAATCGTCCTAGGCGATTAGGTACAACCAAAAATATAACAAGACCAAATCCAAGTAACTAAAATAATGGATATATGGCCAAATAACCACTACCTGGTCATGGACCAATAAGTGGGCAATCCTGTAACTTCCAACTTTAGTCCACTCTTGTCTTAGTCAACGGTCAAAGGTCAACCTTGATCATACCCGGTCAAGTCCTCTGGTCTTCACTTGGACTACTTGAACGTTGCTTGGACCATCACTGCTAGAACATTATACCTTTTTTGGAAGCCTCTCAACTGCATCTTGAAGTCCCTTCACCTTTTTAAGAAACAAATGAATCTCCTAAATCTCCTTGCTTGCCTTCTTATGTAGACTCTTATAGGGGTGAATTTTGGTGCTTCCTCTTCTCAAGTTGGATTGTTAGGGCCTAATATGTAGTCTAGTGTATCAGTTAACTCTTCCAACTACCATTAGCTGGTTTCGGAGCCAGGCTGCTTATGAGCTCTTTATTCCTTAATTATGCTCGATGATCACTTGAATTTGTATTTTTGTTACTTGCAGCTTTTACTTTATTATGGCGATAATAATAAGGGAGTGCTGTCAGATGAACATGTTATGGTTTCAGCGAAATGCCAGGTTAATTTCACCGGCCTTCTGATTTTATGTAGTCACTTTTAATTTTACTGTATTTGTTCAAAATAATTCAAGTGCTCCAATGGGCAGGAATTAGCCAAACTTCTCCCTTCATTGAAGCTTTGTGGTCATCGAGTGCTTATTTTTAGCCAGTGGACATCAATGCTTGATATCCTGGAGTGGACCCTAGATGTTATTGGAGTTACATACAGGCGCCTGGACGGAAGGTATTATAATACGTGTTACTTCTCTTCGACAGATCCATCTTTTTTACCAAGCTTTTCTAGTGATCTTCTAGCGTATGCTCTTTCACAGCTATCTCATCCTCAATGACACATTAAATGCTTATCTTCAGGAACAAAGAACCTAAAATGGTCACAGTTTTTTCTGTAACTTTTTCATTGATCAAGTAATGTGATGCACTTGAATGTACTGTTTATGGATCACATCTTCACTATAGCATGTTAATGCTTTTCCTTTTTTCATTTGATCAAGTTTTACATAGAAGTGATCATGATTTAATAGATTTTCTAGCATTCAACATGTCAAAAAATTATTGCTTTGGTTGAGGTATGATAACATGCAACTATTCTATGATAGAAAAGAAGTTTTCTCATGTTCTAAAAATTAGGATGGAGAATTCTTGTTCCTATCAAGGTCTGAACACCATACATTTGTATTCTAGTTTAATACACTTCTAATAATTTGACAATTGACATGCTCTTGATGTCAACGCAAAAAATATTTTGGTTTCTGTTCATGTAATCATTTTTAGTTACTTATTGTCATGAGAGGTGTTGGTAATTTGGGGTTGGCAGAGGAATTTTGACCATATCTTCCTAAACATGGTGTCTTGATTTCATTCATTATTTCAGCACTCAGGTATCAGAGAGACAGACAATTGTTGACACCTTCAATAAGGACACTTCCATATTCGCATGCTTGCTCTCCACAAGGGCAGGAGGACAGGGTTTAAACTTGACAGGAGCTGATACTGTTATCATACATGACATGGATTTTAATCCACAGATAGATCGGCAAGCTGAAGATCGCTGCCACCGGATAGGCCAAAACAAACCAGTTACAGTATACAGGTGTTAACTCCCTCTTGATTTTCTCTCTCTTTCGCTTCTACATTGAAATTCTTGTAGTTTACACATTTCCCTTTTGCCTTTTTCATGAAGGCTGGTTACAAGGAATACTGTTGATGAGAATGTATATGAAATTGCAAAGAGAAAACTAACATTGGATGCAGCTATACTCGAGTCTGGTGCCCAAATTGAGAATGACGGTGATACAAAAACTATGGGTGAGATATTATCGTCTCTTCTACTTGGTTAAGCACCCTGTTCTGGCATGAGATTCACACCAATATCAATTTTGGTCTATTGACTTCTTTTTTTGTTTTTCCATTTTCCCTTCACCGTCCGGAATCTTTGAGGGTGAGGAATGGAGGTAGGGATTGAGGTAGGATCCGTCCATACTCATCTTTCCCTGTTACTCATAAAATACCATGTACACTTATTATTACAAGGCCTCCCCCTGGAAACAGAAAATTGAGCCAAACCTGCGCCCCTGTTGTATTCTACTAGAATAGATCGACCCCAGCTTATAAAAATGTTATACCGTGTACAGGAAAATCTTGTCATAGGGCAAGGTTTTCTTTTTCTTTTTATTGTAGTTTTGGTCATTCACTTCTGCTTATACTGTTATTAGTTTTTGCTTAAAGTTCTATATCGGTCGAAGTTCCATAATTAACACTTTTCAAGTTAAAAACCGTTGCTCACCCACGGTGGATGAGCATAATGAACAGTCTTTTGAAATTTATTCTAAAATTACTAGTCTACAGGCACACAAGATCACATTTTAATTGGCAAACACTATCAGAAAATAACATATGAAGGTTTAAACATACTTTGTACTAGCTGTGGGAAGTCACGAGACAAGCTGAAGAATTGCCCAGAACAAGTTTCGCAAAATTACGCTACCGAACCTATTGCACGCAAAATGCGGCCAGTACCGCTAATTGCATTAAAGAACATGAGTGGACATTAGTCTCTTATCCAAGAAGCAAGAAAAATAATCATGAAGCAAGTTACTTACTCAAGCTAAGAAAGGTATGGGTAAGACTGCAAAAGACGAATGAAAGGACTGCAGCAAGTACCAAAGTTAGTGACAAAAATAATGGCAAAAAGTTACCAACTACACTAAACTACTAAAGAGATTTTCAGGCTTCAGCTTTAATACGTCTACCTGTGAACCAAAAAGATCTCCGTTACTCCGACTAATACCTCTATATTCTCAGATAACACAAATAAGCCAACCAATAATATTGAACCTAACCAGATTCATTTAACAAAGAACAAACGTTCTATTAGCTAACCAAAATGAAGTCTCTGTCACTTTAGACATTGACTCAACTATCAAATGCATTAACAAATGCAATAGAGATATATTCATTCAGTAAACAAGAAAACTCCATACTTGCATTTAATGCTCAAGTTGAATCACATGAAAGCAGAGATAACAAGCATGGTTACTGCAAGGATGCTTCTAATGCATCTGATAACAATCTCACTGAAAGCACACAGATACATACACAGACACAAAGACATTCACAATGGCTGTAGCTATAAGTGAGCCAACGTTTATGAGCAAAATCCCCAAGACATCGCAAGTACAACTTAGACACTCTAATCTTCCAAATACAGCACCTTCTTCCACTTCTCTTCTCCAAACTGCCGAGCTATCCAGGATAAGGAGAAACTACTGGCAGAGGACATATTGACCGTGAACCCATGGCTAGCAGCTGTAAATCAATCACACCTCTATCACAGCCACCTTCCAATGGAATGCTTCAAATCTAGCACCAATGATGGGATTACTTGTGTTCCATGCATCTTCACAGACATCTCAAGCACCTGCAGCAGTATTTCAGCAAAACATGAACCATCAAGCACAGACAACACAAATGGTAACTGATTAACAACACATTCAAATGATCACCACTCTAACAGTAATACCTTAAGAGGAATTGAACCACACTCAGGAATCAAGTCAGATAGCTCGAGTGTAGGCTCAGACACAAGAGGAGGAAGAAGAGGTAGAATACTTGATAGAAAGAAAATTAGTGTTACAACCTAAGAATCCTCAGAATAATGCTTCAAACGAAACTGAGAACAAAAATTCATGTTAGCCTGCACCCCCACCCCCTGGTCACTCTTGAAATGCTCTCTAAATATCGACACACTATCCAATCCAACTCTTTACCAATATGGTGTGGTGATGATCCCCACTCTGGCCAGGTAGAGTCATCTCAATCAGAAGGTTATGATTCTACTAGGAGTTCAACCCAAAATGAACTCCTCCCTTAGCTTGGCAGAGAGTTCTAACAACAACGACAAGATGATGAATTTCATAATCTGGAATTATAGGGGTGCTGCTAAGCGTGACTTCAAAAGGAACTTCAGATCAATGTTGGATTAAAATAAACTTGTCTTTGTAGCTTTGCTTGAGACAATGCTCCAAGATCATAGCTCACTAATGAATGATTTCAACTTCACTAACATGATCCAAGTAAGAGTAGTAGGATTATTAGGACCACATTGCAGCATTGAAAAATGCTGATATACAAGTTGATGAAATTGGAACCACCGGACAAGAGGTGCATTTTGTGGTAGAGGTAAATCCAAATTCAAATCCATGGCTTATGTCTCTAATTATTCTGTTACACCCCATGTTTTTGTATGTAAGAGTACGTCGTGACACAATTGATGTAAGCTCAGAAATGAGATCATTTTTGAAAGTATATAAGGTAAATTAATCATGTTACCTTGGAGGTTACAAATTTTTAAGATCATGGATAACAAGTACCAAGAGGGTTGAAAGACTTAGAAGCTAAACAAACTGAAGAAAATAAGTTTCGTCGAAAGTCGACAAGTTGAGAATATTATAACATGTACTCTTGGGATAAGAATATGGTGCTTAACATGATAAGAAGGTTATGTTATGAGTTATTTTAGTCGTATGATAGTCGTATATTACGTTTTGAAGTCAAGCGAGTTGTGGAACAAAAGTTGGCAAATGTCATCACAAGTTACATTCATAAATGTGCTGAAAATTAGGTCAAATGTAGTTGCGATTTTCTCCCAATATACTTGGAATTTGTTACACCATGTGCATCCCAAGGTGACGTATAATGAATATAGGACTTTTTAATCATTATTTAAATGAGTTTAAAGTCATAATATGACTATATATGATGTTTGGACATAAAATATAAAGTTTGGAAACAATCGGATTTAAGTTGCGGAAAAACCGACTAAGGATTTGCCTTGTAACAAAGCTTTTTGAGAAATTTTTTTTGTGTGTTATAAGAGGTATTTTTGGGACATATTATATACCAAATTGAAGGTATTGGAATGTAGTTTCCAACACTCTTAATCGTTTATTCATACGATGTCCGGATAAAAAGGTATGAGCGTCTGAAGAAGGGCCAATGCTAGGGTGCCAAGCTAGCACCTCTTTGACTTTTCAAAAGTTGATATATATAGGTTTTAAGTCTCCTTTTTCTTCATTTTTCATAGAACACGAACATAGAACCCCCATAAACCTATCCTTAAGCTCTCTACAAGGATTTCAAAGAAGATTAACATCCCAGGTACGAAATCAAGAAGCGATAACATTAGAACGATCCCTACGACGTAAGTATCATTATACCGCCTCTCTTTTTCTTTGTAGTTTGAGTTTCGGAAGGTACTTCATAGTTAAGAAAATGCCTAATTTCTGTATTTAAGCTTTTAAATATCTAGGAAAGTTGATAAATTTATTTTCTAATAGTTAGAACTCACGGGACGGTGATCGGAAGCCATGAGTTCGATTTATTCTACTTTTAGCGGACTGTTTTGTAGTTCACTCGTGTTGGCCTCTTGTGCTACTAATTTATGGAGTTTGGAAGGATAAAGGGCGTGGAGAAACTGTAAGAACTCGTAAAATTATTAACCAAAATACTCGGGGTTTCGTGGTGCCAAGATAGATTCCTGCGTTAGTTCAGATTTTTTGGATTGAACAGTACCCTACGGACTGAGAGGAAAATATTTCACAGAAGAACGCATTTCTACGGCCCATTATACGGCCGCATAATCACTCTGCGGACCGCATAATGGCCATAGAGTGAAGCAGTAAGTTTGGCCAATTTGAGGTCAGTTTTGCGGTCGATTATGCGACCGCATAATCCATATGCGGACCGCATAATTCCTCTTGGGTTTCTGCGGAGGGAGTTCTGCGGTGCATTGTGCGACCGCAGAACAAGTATGCGGACTGCATACTGGTCGCATACCTGAGCCAAAGGTTTAGGCCCCTGAGGGCCATTTCTGCGGTCACTTTGCGGACCGCATAACCATTATGCGGTCGCATATGCGACCGCAGACCTGTGTCGGGGCACCATTTTTCTTAATTTAAAACCCGACCCCTATTCCGTTAAAACACCCCTTAGGTCTATTTTGAGCTCATTTTCTGATACTTATAGAGTGTGAGAGAGAGGGTTCAAGAGGGAGGGCCTAAGTTTCATCAAATTGATCTTCAATCATCACTCAAAGCCTTGGAAATATTCAAGTAGAGCACCAAAATTCTTCACCCTAAAAGGTAAGGCTTCATCACCCCAGCTCTAAATTTCAAACATAGCTATAATGGGGTACTAGGGTGATACTTCATGAGTATGAGGGTGGTTTATCTTGCATGCATGTGTGATAAAGAGTGTGGGGAAAGAAAGTGAGTTAGAGCCATGAACGTTTTCCTAATTCTGGGTTCAATTTGTATATTGCTAAAATAGATTGAGGTTGCTAAGGGTTCCGGATTATTGTAGAGTCCAAAGAAGCGAAATTGAGGTATGTATGGCTAACTCTCTTCTTCTTAGAATCAAACTCCTGGTGTTCGAATAATTGGTGTAAGTTCCAACTTGATTATACTAGGATCATTTGCCTTAGTGTGTTTGATTGAAAGATTCATGTTCCCTAATTATTTTAGATGGTTACCATGTCATCATGCTATTTGAGAACGTAATTGTAATTTTACAAGCTCCTTCCCTTATGTGTGAAATGCCTTATGTGATGGTACTTATCGACATGAATGATGATGTTATTCAAACAAATAAAAAAAAAGAAAAAGGAAAGATTTGAATTGTAAAATGTGCCCAAGTGCCAAGAACTATTTAATAAATGAGGTTGTTTGTGCCATGTAATGGAGATGGAAAAGAAATGTGAATTGAGTGGACAGTTGAAAGAGGTTATGTCTCAAGTGAGATGGCTTAGCCGATCGGGCCGAGATCGGACGCCATGCTGTACACATGGTGGCATTTGTATTGGAATTATTGAATTACATTGTGGATATGGATATGTCTCACTTGAGATGGCTTAGCCGGTCGGGCCGAGACCGGACTCCGTGTAAAAACACGGTGGCATTGTGAGTTGTGGCTTTGACACTAAAGATTATTAATCTAAGAAGATGGAAAAATTGAATTAGAAACTATGTGATCCTTACTCGGTGTTTTCTTTGTATTTCTATGAAGTACTTATTGATTATTATGACTGCCTTCTCTTTGTTTCACTATTCATTCTACTAAGATTGGTGTTTGCCTTACATACTAGTACTATTCGACAGTATTAACGTCCCTTTTGCCGGGGGCGCTACATCTTTGAATGGATGT